GAGAAAGCGCAAGAGCAACGATCTCGAAATTTTGCGCTTGCTGTCAAATTGTTAATCGTTTCAAAAGTTTTCAGCACTATTTATGAACCCACGAATTCGAGTGAATTTCAACGAAATGTTTTCGATCAGCTGCAATCGCGCAACGTAACTTAATTATCTAATATATGATAGAACAACTTATAAAATTGTTCTCAGAAAGAAAGCACTGAATATGCTTGAAGAAAGCACCAGAGAAGATTTAATTATCTAATATGTTAAGCTAATTCATTAAGAATGTTTCTCGGCAAGAAATTACTGCAAATACTTGAAGAAAGCACTGGAAAATTGAGCTTGATTTGAACAAAAACTTGATTTCTGAGCAGCAGAGCGGGTTTAAATATTGCATATATTAGCCTACCGATGTGCTAATTATGGTTACTAATTCTACTCCGAAAAATAGAACAGATATAAATAGTTTTCTGATCTAAGATTGGAAGAAGAAGATATCCTCTGGTAATCTCTAGAGTGAACCCTAGAAAACATATTTGTGAAATGTTATATTAGAGCACACTTTTTTATGGCCAACAAGTTGAATTAATGCTTGAATAGATTTTGATTGAATGTCAGATAAATATTGCAAACAAATTAAGATATGGAGTGTATTCAAATTGATTAAGGTATATTTAAGGGAAGGTCATATTTCATACCCTTGTAGAGGGTATTATAATTTTGTCATTGAATGTTTAACGCATAGAAAGAGATATCTTCGACAACATAAAGCATATCAAGATATCTTATCCAAACTCGGCACTTATAGGTTTCACTATGCTACCTACTTATTTGCAACATCTTATCAACATCGGACCACTATATCATATAGGTGCTATAGGAAAGATCGGTGGAATGGTAGGATCTTAGCTGGAGGGGAATGTCTACATGGGTATTAAGTCGAAGATATATCCTTACTTTTTTTTTGGTATATGTATTTATTATTGAGAACCCTTAAGTCTCATTTCTTGGCTGTGTATGTAGATATAGAATGTATTATCTACACTATACTTTCTACCAAATACTAAACCCGTATTCTTTACACAAAAACTCAGCTGCTATTAAAAAAAGCTCACACCTGTTCTGCATGTATCTGGCGTATGCTTTGCTTTTTTTTTTTTTGGTTTAGTATCCGCATTATTTTCCCAATTTTAAACAAAATTATATGAATTATATGTGTTTGTTTTTAGCAATAAAGCAAATGTTTTGACACTTAGCTGGCACGTGTAAACTTAACCCTAATGAAAGCTGTGCAGATGCCCGAGAATTTAAATATTGTACGCTGTATAATATGCTCTCAAAATAAATGGACCCAAAACGAATCTTATTATAAATCCAATTATGTTGTTGTCAAACAACAATATTTTTGAATATTCGAAACATTCGAAAGGGTTTTCTTTTATTTTTGCCAATTTACAAGCGAATCAATGTAAAGCGCGATATACTATAGATACACCCAAAAAATACGGGCCCTGGTTATGTTATGGTAAATAATGCTCAATTTGGAAGCTGATTGATTCGTACACCTGCTCGAAGAAATGCTTTTTGCGCATCTTTCGGATATCGTTGTCTTTGGCCACCTACCTCCCCTTTCGCCCCTCAAGGGAAGGAAATAGCAAATGCCACACAAAACCCCAACAAATTTATTTTTGTTTTTGTTTTTCTGCCACACGACGCTGACAGCGACGCGACGCGACGCGACGCTTGACGGTGACGCTTTTCGGTTCCGCAAAATGCATTTATAGCCGGCAACACACACACACACACAGACACACAGTGCGGCGAAAGGTGTGTGTGGCACCAGAGCCAGACGGGCGGGGCGGGGCGGGGAGGGGTGTGTGTGTGTGTGTGTGTCGTTCAACTAGAAATAGAAATGCAACATGTAAGAGTACGAGTACGAGTACGAGTAGCGCCTGCCTCGGCGAGTACTTAATCTTTGCGATTTATAGCCAGGCCGACTTTCCATTATTTTTAACGTTTTGCTTGTCGCGTTTCGTATATGCACACACACACTCTATATATTTATAATATATTTGCATGCATATTCTCTTGTATTTTTAGTATTTGCTGTAATTTGTATACTTTGCCTGCATTCCTTTCGTGCCATGTTGTTGCATCCGTAGGATACAAAACAACAGTTTTTTAGTAAATAAACTAAAAAACTATCTTGTAGTTAGCCGAGCAGATTATAAACACAAGGGCAGTAAAAGATGTCTTCTTCTTAACTTTTGAAAGCCCATTAACATGAATTGTTATGCGTCTTTAACTATATTCTATTCTAGAATATATTTACCTAGGTATATGTTTTCCAACATTATAATCTGGGAATGTTGAGTGATGCAGGAATGTTATATGAAAACGACTCGCTCTTTAATTATTTGTACAACTCTCATTTAAGCTATTATTAGATCTTGGTCGACAATTCTGCAACCATTCAATATTTGCATTCTTAGTCATATTCAATTGGCTATTACAACTTAGACGGTATCTCCGATTCGTGTATAGCCACACTTTGCCACTTGCTGTTCTGTTATTTTTGTATCTTGTTTGGCCCGCTGCTTGTTGGCAAACGCGCAATAAATTGATTTCTAATACCGCATGTCCCGCCTGTCCACATCAATATCAGCTATATAATGCGAATCGGGCTTAATTGGGTTTTCAAATTACAAGCATTTCCGCCATGTTTAATCAGCGCTTCGTAAATGTTGTTTGCTTTGGCCAAGTTTCAGGGTGAAGGCCAATTCGATTCTATAAAAGTTTCGATTGGACTATAATCATATAACTTGAGTGTTACAGCGACTATGTTGCCACAATCTGATATATGTAAGCTCTGCCGCAGTTAACACTTACAATATCTCAGAGATATAGACAGAATATTTGGCATAATTTCATTCAAATAAATCAGATATGATTCGCATTCACATTTGATCGGATTAGAAAAGAAACACTTCAGTTACTTGAGCACATTAGAGGGTAACTCCAGGACCATCAGTCTTGACTAGGGCAATCTATTAACGATAAAATAATGGTGTGTTTTCTATATGCATGTTTGTAAATGCTTCAATGTATATACGAACATATATTTTAAAAGACGTTGCGCTCATTTCGCTACGACACAAAAATACAAAATGCAATAAATATAAATCTGAAACGATGGCACATTTTTTTCTTTTTGCATTAATACCTGCACTCTCATTATTCATTTTGTGTAATTTTAATTGCTGCTGAACAACCGAACTGATTTTGGTCAGCTGGAAAAGCAGCCTCTACTCGGGCATGAAAGAGGGGCATTAAATATGGGATAGAGAGCGGGAGGGAGAGTAAGATGCTGTATGAGTATGAGTATGAGTATGAGTATGAGTATGAGTATGAGTATGAGTATGAGTATGAGTATGAGTATGAGTATGAGTATGAGTATGAGTATGAGTATGAGTATGAGTATGAGTATGAGTATGAGTATGAGTATGAGTATGAGTATGAGTGTGAGTATGAGCATGAGTATGAGTATGAGTATGAGTATGAGTATGAGTATGAGTATGAGTATGAGTATGCGTATGAGTATGACTATGAATATGAGTATGAGTATGAGTATGAGTATGAGTATGAGTATGAGTATGAGTATGAGTATGAGTATGAGTATGAGTATGAGTATGATTATGAGTATACATGTGTAAATTATGTACCAGCTTCCCCAACCCCTCAAAAAATAAATAAAAAAGTATAAGGTATTTATATTCATATTTATATACACATATATACTCTTAGGCATGTCATATCGCTTGGCGTTACGTGTGCCGTGTGTGCTGCACCGTAAAATCATGTCATTTGCATTCAGAGCGATTAAAATAAATGTGCTCGAAATTGTAACAACAGGAAGACATTTAACCAAAAGTATACAAAAAATCTGCAAGGCTGTCAGACCCCAAAACAAATGACGGCATTTAAAATACGTACGAATATATCAATACGAATGAGCCAATTATACGTATATACATACATATGTATGCATATATACACATATATATGTATATATTATTCGCGGCTACGTCAAATGATAAGACATTTTCAAATGGATAGAAATAAACCTACAAAGTATAAGACGCTTTAATAACAATACAATATCCCAAAGTATTAGATCAGCAAAACCTGAACTAATCTAAAAATGAAACCTCATTTTTATGTTCAGGTTGTCTAGTCAGTAGTTAAATAAAGTTTTTAATACAATACATATTTAATGATATTTTTATGTTTTTGGTTTAGTGACAAGTTCAGAAGATATATCCATCAAATTATAACTCAAATTTCAGCTGGAACATTGAACGGAAATAACCTGGATGTATAATGTTTTCAGTTCAAAACGAGGTTTCTATTGGATGGTATTTGGGTAAGTTCTTTCCCGCAATATTCATGCAGAAATATATTATATTTTGTGGCACCTCCAGTAATTGTGCTTCTTCTTACTCGCAGGCCTACATTATGGAAAATGCATTCCTAAATAACTTCGGTGTTTATAGTCCGATATTTATAAAATGTTCAGGACATCAATATAACATCAAAAAGTGTGTTTATACCAACGACCATAGCTATATCTTCAATTTTGTAAGGAACAATCCGTAACATGAGGTTTGTAGCTCTTGTAAGTTTCAGCATAAGGTTAAATACCATTGATTGAAAGTCGACATTTGTCGATTCATCCATTTATGTGCACACACCACTATTTTGCATAGGAATCATAGGGTTCAGCTAATCCCAGTTTTCCTATTTGACCGTTACATTTTCTGTAGCTACATTTCCCAGCCAAAAGCTTAGCACGCGCTCGGGTTGTTGCCGCGACTAGTGTGAAAGCTTTTCGAGCAGCTTTGAGGCTTGGCGCCACCTGGCGAAAGCACCAGGAACACATACCAATAAATCGCAGCGCAGTAAAAGCTCAGGGGTCAGGTAGTTAGGGGGGTTGAAAAGTTTTTGGCACTTACCCTCACACTTCAGACCCTGAATAAAGAAACCGCCCATCAGCGAGCCGCAATGATCACAAAACGTGGGTGACATAAAGGTGTGGGGCTTGAACCTGTGCGGCATGTCGATCTTGAAGCGTTCGCGCAGCAGCTGCAATAGAATAGTCGTTTAATTGGGGGTATTCTTTGGAAAGGACTCGGATGTGCTGGTGGGACCTACAATTGTGCTGGCGGAATTGAAGACGGAGCCGGAGCACTTGCCAAGCAGCTTTTCATGGCACTTTTTGTGCACGACCGTCTGGCAAACTGTAAAATGGAAATCGATAAGTTATCGAGGAGCTGCCAGAGTTGCCACCTTACTCACTTATGCACTGATAACCCTGCTTGCCAAAGCCCCACAGAAACAGATTGCAAAACGCGCAAAATGTGGGCTGGCGAAAGAACTTGGCCACAAAGCGGTGTCCATTTATGTCATGGGTTCTGCAATAATTGTAAGATTTGGGATGAATATGGCAACACTCTACTTGCGGCCGACTCACTTTTGATGTTTAATGGCGCCCCGCCGATTCGTAATGCTGCGCGGTCGCGTGCGTCTGTCCACATAGCCGCCGCTGACACCGCCAACACCACTGCTGCCACCACCACTGTCCCTGTCTCTGGTGTATGCCTCCTCCTTGGAGTGCTGGCGCGGTAGCTCAAAGGAATGCTGCTTGCCATAGTGATAGTGATTGTTATAGTGATCATCACAGTCCCGTTCCCGGTCACGGTCGCGATCACGCCGCGTGCCGCTGGCACTGGATCCGCTAATGCCGCTGCCGGCGCCGCTGCTGCTGGACGAGCTCTGTTTATAGCGAACCTGCGAATATGAATGTGGATTATTGCTTTAAAGGATATTGAACAGGTTGCACTGAGTAAAAGCAAATGCTCACACTTCACTCACAACTCGATCAAGCTTGGCTGTGTTTTCAATTAGCAAAACTCAGTGTTGTAAAATAAAATAAGAATCATTTTAGTGCCGCTAACAATCGCTCACAATAACAATGTATTCCATTGTAAATATCCATCGTAAATATACATACGATAGATTGACACGAATTATTAAAAACATAATTGTACATAACAAAAAAAAAAAAAAAATCAGGAACGGCCCAGATTCTATTGGTTTCTTAGTGAACACAAAGCAATTAGTTGGTTATAAAAATAACAAACAAAATTTTGTTTCAATTTTCACTTTCAATGAGAATTGTGCATATGGGTAAAACCAATTAAATTTACAGTTTATAAATATTGTTTTGCTATAGACTTTTTTAAATATACAACAGTGTTAAGCTAACACACACAAAGTGTAGCCAGATCTGAACTAAAGTATACCCTGTAATTATGCACTTGTTCGCAGATTAATAGTGAAAGCTTCTCAGGTGTTTAAGCTGAAAGAGCTTGAGTTACTTTGGATCAAATCGATATAATAGCTTTATTCAATTGGGATAAGTTCTAGTTCTCTCCTCTGATATGCATATATATCAACGTATTCCAACACTAAGAACCGCATTACGTGTTGCTCAACACAAGAACCTCAGAGATTCAACTAGCTAGAGCCCTGAAATTTGGTATGCATGTGCGCATAAGGATTTGTGGGCAAGTCTTGAATCTATAGCGGAGCGGATATATATTGAAAAACCTAACATTGATTAATTTGGATAGTTGCCATCTTTTGCTTGTCTGATTTCGCTTACATCGTGGCTCAGTAGCCGTGAGGAGCTGCCGGAGCTGCGTGGACGCTGGCTGCTGCTGGAGCTGCTTGTCTTCTGCTTGCGCACTTGGGCGCGGGTGAACATCATCTTGGCGGCGTCCGCTTCCGCGTCGACGGCGCAACAAAATCTGTACGCGATTCGCTAGCCGTTATTGCGGCTGCCGTGCGCCTCGCAGCGGTAACTGGATGACCACGTATTGCCTCTTATTGCCGAACCTCAATTCCGTTCGATGCGATCCACTCTCGCATATGCGAGCTCCTAGATCCAAGGGGTGCTGCTGGCGAGCTGGGGAGCTGGGGCGGCAGGGCTATCCGGCTGCTGCTTCTGTTTTGTGTTATGTGTTTAACGATACGAAAGGCGAGCACGAAGCGTATTTCTTATAAGTATTTATATTAAATAAGCTTTTCAGTTTTCTTGCTGCTGTTGCTGTTGTTGTTGTTGTTGTTGCTGCTGTGTTGGCATTTTTGTTCAGCTGCAAGCGACTTTAAAGCCCTGTTGATGGACATCTGAAAAAAGTATGAATAACAACAAAGAAACTTAAATACACTCACATATTATAAGCGCTCAACCCCATTAATTAAATCGCACAGTATTTAGAGTACTTTATTTTTCTGACTTCATCCATTATCCATATAAATTATATGTATGAAAAATATGTGACCATAAAGAACAAACTTTTAATATGCCTATTAATAAATCAGTTAATTTTATTTTTCTTGTACACCTTATTTGTCAATTCACAGTCAAATGCGTTGATTTAAGCGATTTCTAGAGTTGTTTTTGATATCATAAAAGGGGTTTTAAAATAAAAGAGAAGTTTAGTCAAGAGCCCAAAATGGTAAATGTATTTAAAATTCGACTGTATTTACCCAAAATATTCAAGAATGATTATTCAGAAATGTAGGTGTAAAATTATCTTATCTTATTAAAATCAAAATCAAAAAAACAAATTCTTTATCAAAATCGATCCCATTTATGGCAAAAATCGATGTCAGCCCATGCCAAATTTGTCAAGCATGATAGTTTAAATAAAGGTTAAATAAAGGTAGTGTTCGATCATATATGAATATACATATCATTCTTGATTTGTTGTCTGTAGCTGATCTGGCAGCACAAAATGTATTTCTATTCCAGTTAAGTTAGCTGCGCCTAAGCAAAGCAAAATTATGATGTCCAAGTTAAGTTGGCTGCACCTGAATCATTAATGAAATGGACTTTATACTAGATTGTCTTTTTTTTTGAAGACACTAAGTAAATTTAGTTAGCTATAATTGAAATTTAAAGGAATAGAAAGTTTCCAATGAAACCCTGCTATTATAATTTTCTTTGCTTTCTTCTTACTGCTAGAATTTTATCCGTTAGATTTAAGGCAAGGTTATTTTGATGTTTGTGAAGTCTTTCAATGCATTTTGTATTAATGTTATATATTTCTTCTTTAACATAAGGAATATTAAGGTCTTTGTGTATGTTTGCATTTAAATGTAGAAAGGAGCATTTACTATGGATCGCAATATTTTTGACTGGTAGCGCTGAATAATTTCAATATTTAAGTTGCTAGCAGTACCTCAAGGTTGTAACGCATATGTCCAGACAGGCTTTAGTATGGCTTTATAGAGGCGAACTTTGTTTACTTGTACTAGATGAAATAATATAAATCGTTTTGCTTAATAAGCCACGAGTCAGTCAATTTCCTGTGAGTATATAAAAACATCACGTAGCAGCAAGTGCTTTCTCATGGTGCACATGGATCGTGCCAAGCACACGATCCACGCAGGAAGTAGTCGATCGTATAAGTGTGTACAAACACATATATTTGTGTATACAGTATGCATATATATACAATGTGTCTTTGGACATGGCCTTTAGACAAAACATTCAAATAGTAAGGGCACTTTGTCACGTATTAAGAACAAATTCCAGACGCACAAGCAAAAACTGTGAAAAACCGAAATTCATAGAAAATGAGAGATAATTAATTGATAAACTGATGATAAGTGTGATTGATCTATGGCATCTACTGATAGATATATCCTGTATATACATTTATATATATATATTTGAGGGGGGGGGGGGGGGGGGGTGGTGGTGGTTGTCGTCCAATGCTGTGCTGTGCCTAGTGCGTGCCAGGGTGGGTGGGGGCGATCATTTGGGTTCCAAGCACAGACCATCAATAAACAATTGACTCATGTGCTTTTTGAGTACATGTATCAAATGCTGCTCATTGTTTATGTTCTCGTTTCTGATTAAATGCTGTGGGCTGTCCAATTTCTGTGGAAGCTCATTTGAGAAATTGCACCAAAAAAACAAAAACAAAAAAACAAACCAATTCGAGATGCGATATTTGACGGCATTTTGTTTTGCCCGAATGCTCATCTATATACAATATATTTTTACAATATGTATTTGCACGCGTTGGGCTTGAAGGGCACACACCCACACAGGCACACACAGTCACACACACCCACACACTGCCACACACTTGTTAATGTTGTGGCTGTATTTGTGTAGGGAATCCACCAGCGTGTTTCGGACTCATGAGTCGTCAACATCGTCGCGTTTAAAAATATGATTTTATTATTATTATAATTATTGTTTCATTTTTTTTTATTTTGTTTGGTGCCACCCAAAAATAAGTTTTCGATTCATTTGAAACTGTTGTTGTCTTTGTTAATGTTATTATAAATAGAATTAAGTGGCGATTTCTGTGAGATTGCGTGCCAATTGATTGCCGGATATGATTAAAACTTGAAGAGTGCCAAAACAAGCTTTGATATGTTTTTTACCTTTTGTTACATTACGTTACCGTATTTCCAGAATGCCCAAAGCTCGATACTTGCACAAGTCAGAGTGCTTCGCCCAGGAGACACCTGCAATATCCAAGCACGCTCCGAATGCAGTGACTGTGCCTCTTCTTCTTTGATTTACATCGGTGCTTATAGTCCGATCATTTTCAAATTCATGTACCAAAGTGCCAGATTCAAAAATAAGTTCTTTGAATTTGTTGTAAAATTGGGGATTGGGAATTGTCTCAAAAACGAAAGTTATCGATATTATGAAATAAGCTGCAGATATCGAACGAATATTATCAAGGCATTCTGTTTATGGTATACTAGAATATTTATATTTTATTTCAAGTCTCCAGTTTTTTTGTGGTTTTCGAGACGGAGAATATGGCTAGAAAGTTGGAGTTGCTACCTTCTGCCTGTTGCATGCATTTATAAGAAACCGTGTACAAGCGAGTTACCTGTTTGAAAAAGAGTTCTTTGCATTTATTGTTGCATAGCTCCGGGCGTCAAGGCCAGAATTAGGTAGCCTCTAAAAGAAGAGATCTTTGAGATAGTTTTGGGACTGCTTCTATATGGTTAAACAATCAAGTCTTTGAGAAGTTAATAAAAAAATATTAACTTTTTCAATATCTTGTACTGACAATGTATTTGATTATATTATAGATAGATAATATCTATAGAGAAGTTAACTGACACGCTCTACATAGTTCCTAACGATTCTTCAAGCTTGCACGATCTTACAGATCTATAAGATATTGTGGACAGCTTGCAAAACTTTTAACAACAAGAGCTTCAAGCACTTGGCAAGAATACTTTTAGATTCATTCTTTGTTAAAACTTGCATATTAACATTTGCCCTTTTTTAAGGGCATATTAACCCCTAAACTCTCAATATGATAGTTAACCGAAAGGGAAGTGCTTGCTATATTATTTAAAATTTCATTACTAGTAAATATATAGGTTATAATTGCTTTGAGCATCTCGCAAAAATGAATAAAAATATTTGTTATCAGCCGGTACAGGGGGAAAAAGAAATAAACAACAAATTAATCACAACAACTAGTCGGGCGATTTGATAAATATATAAAACGCAACCGAAACCAGATATATCCCAGCGCCACTCTAAAGCATGTGTCAACTTCAGATACGAATCGATTCATTTGTGGTAAACAGCTCTCGATGCGATGTGGGCGATGGAGGCGATGGGGGCGATGAGGGCGATGGAAGCGGGCAATGGATGGGTGCTCGCATGGACGGGTGGGATTGGATTGTATTGGATTGAATTGCTTTGGGTTGGCGTGGCGGCAACTTCGATGGCAACAGCGGCGGCTACTATAAACACATTCCGCATTGGTACAAAACACGCACAAACACACACACACACACACACATAGACACAACAATAAATATTTCGTAGTGAAATGCTTTTGTTTTAATGCCCCGCAAAACAGCGCAAATTGACTGGATGATTGTGCGGCCGTTGTGGCGGCTCTGGCAGTCATTTTAATATGTATCTATATAGCTATACCTATAGCTATAGCTATAGCTGCACAGATATATACATATATATATATATATATATATATATACATGTATGTGTGTATATGTGACGTCATCAGAGCCTCGAAATGTGCTTAGCAGCTTTAGGTTAGGCTTCACTTTATAAAAAGCGCTCGTACTTTCACTTTTTTTTATTGTTATTTATTATTTCTTGCGTACTTTTTGCCTTGTGGAAAACCGAGCACACAAAAAAATGTATAAAAAAAATAAATATAAGAAAAAAGACACACACACACGCGCACACACAACGCGCTTTTATTCACTTATATGTGCAACACGCATACGCCGCGTTGTACGGCGATTGTCACTTTGTATTTGCAATCGGCGATTTGTGATTTGTCATTTGTTTGTTGTCTGGCTAGTTGAGACTTCTATTTGGCATTTTCCATTTTCCATTTTCCATCGAGTTTTAACCGTTCGGCCAAACAAACGTGAAACGAGCGCACGAACGAACGAACGAACAAATAAAGAATACAATTTGAAAGAAATATAAATGCGAGCGAAATTAATATTGTGGAAAATATCTCGGGTAAAATGCAAGGCAAAAGGAAATCTTCCGCTCTGTTTGGCTGCTGCGTTGATCTCGGCACGGCACAAAACAAAAAAAAAGTCCGCTGTTCGACTACGGCGAGCGCACTGAATCCGTATCTGAATGAGATATATATATACACTCAGGCAGTATCTTTGGCTGTTTGTCTGTGTGTGTGTGTGTGTGTCTATCTGCCAGTGTTCTCTCTCTCTTTTTCTTTCTCTCCGCGCACTCTCACTCTCACTCTTTCTCTCTCTCTCTGTCGCTATCTTTAGCTCTTCGGAGAGTGCAGAACGCACAAAGAGCGCGTTTGTCGATCGTTAAATATGCATTATGTGTAGAGTTATGGGCAAAGTATCATGTGCTCTTTACATTAGTCTGTTATTATATGCACGCCTATGCGAGTATATAGAAATCGAACTGAGCAAAGCATTCAAAAATCAATATCTTACATTACTCGATCAGACAGACAGGAGAGCGAGAGAGCGCGCGAGAGACAGAGAGAGAGAGAGCGAGAGAGAGAGGGAGAGAGACAGCAAGTGTGAGTGAGAGAGGAGGAGGAGGAAGAGAAAGTAGGAATGCGAGTGAACAGGAGCACGCATATACACTTTCTTCTAGTTTTTAATGTCCTTCAGCTTCGTGTTTATATAATAAATATACAATATTCCTTTGTTACATTTTATGTATATCATAAAATTTCATGTATGAGTTTTTTTCTGTCTATAGTTTTTTATATATATATTAAATTAGTTTTACATATTTTCTTAGCCTCAATGAAGTCCCTAACTTTGCTTATAAGACTAATTATGCCACCTTTTAAATACTTTTTATACCTTGGTCAACTTTCATTTTTTCATGTAGTTCCGTAACATATCTCGATATCAATCATAAGATTGATTGGCTATTTGTTTCTAATATCCCCAATAAAACCATTTATGTTAATGAACTTCAAATATTTTGTAAATTTATTTAACACAAACGGAAACAGTTACAAATGTTTTAACAGCCAAAATTAAAAATAAAGTATCTACAGTCCAGTTAGGGAATATATTTTACACATGCACACAATTTATATAACTAGAGCGTCTATAATTTATACAACAATTTAAAGGCAGTCTCTTGCGAACATTCTCACATTTCAAAATCGTATTTATCCAAATTCTTTAAGCAAGTAGAGCATTTGAGAGTCTCATATGGCCGAAAGAAAAGCATTGTTGCTTTAATAGGCACGCGCCCTCGCATTTCTCTAAATATTTCATTGTGTATTTTTAAATTTTTAACAAGATAACGCGAGAGAAAAAGCTCTGAAAGAGTGCGAAAAACACAGCGAGAGACAGAGAGAAACAGAAAACTATCAAGAAAAATAAAACAAATAAATTGAAAACAAAAAAAAAAGGACAACAACAGCAAAAACAAACAAACAAACGCCCTTTGCACAACAATTTTAAGAGCAGCTGTGTTTAGGACTCAGGGAAAGCTCCGCCTACAATCCGTTCACGAAGAGACTGTGTAATATGATGCCCTTCAGACTCTCGCAGCGCTGGCCACCCGCTGCCAGGTCGGTGCTATATAGCTCAAGGTTGTGGATCAGCTGGAGTATATCCCGGTCCAGTTCGTCGATCAGCAGATCACACTTGGCCGCATCGCTGTAGATGTGAAGCTCCTCGAAATGGTCCTCGATCTCGGCGAACCATTCGGCCGGCTGGGAGCGATTGAAGGCGGGCGGATGGTTTATGGCCCTACCAGCGTCCAGATCCTCCTCCCTGATTCGTACACAGCCCTGATGGCCCAAACGATTGCCCATGCCGCCGCAGCAAGCCCAGTTCTCCGAAATCCAACTGTTGCAAGCGCAGCTCCCGACGAGTAACTGGCCACAGAATTCGAGTTGCAAGCTGATTGATAGCTGCTGCCGTTATCGATATCTGTTTGTGTATCGATAAGTCGGCAAGCAAAGTGATCTATCGGAATGGCAACGAGTAATAGCAATGAGTTTTGTTATTATATGCCTGGTGCCCGATCGAACCGAATCGTTGGGAACTAATTTTTTATTTTCAGATATATACTTATGTGAAATGCCAGATATACCTGTCTTTTTCAAAGTATATGATACTGTTAACAGCAAACGGCACAAGCCAAAAACAAAGCATCGATAAATACATTGATACAATTTCGATAAATATTTGTTATCTGTACAGTTCATAATGTAAATCAGATCGAAGCTTAAAACCTTGACACATCTGTCATCGTGATTGTGCAATAGCTGCTGTCCCGACTTTTCGTGCGCAGCTGCTCGATTTACAAACCCAAATATTATCAAACTTGTCTCTGGCGATTGTTTGTGTGAAATAAGTAAGACGAAAAACCCAAGCTGTGAGAAAAACTGAGTTTTTGGAAACCAATCGGAGCCGTCAAATCGGAGTCGAACTGCAAACAGAACGTGCGACTGGCAACCGGGTAACAGGCGGCAATTGCAGAAGCTTGGCATAGTCAACCGTTTGGCTCAGAGACTGATAGACGCAACTTCTAATTGTTGTTGTTTTTTGTTTGTTTTTTTTTTTGTTTTTTTTTTTTTTTTTTTTTTTTTGGCGATCTAAGAAGTGTTTTGTTTGTTTTGTTTTGTTAGTGCTGTTGTTAGTTTGTTGTTGTTTTTGTTTTTTTTTTTTTTTTTGAACAAGCTTATGTATCCAAACATGGCCGAAAGACGCTTGCGAAAGGAACTGAATGAACTGTATAAGCTGCAGCCGAGCAATTGTTGCGCCTGGCCCGTGACCGGGGATCTGATGCTATGGGAGGCGACCATTTTGGGCGTAAGGGACACGCCCTATTATCTGGGCGTATTCTCGTTGCGGCTGAAGTTCAACAGAAACTATCCGTTTATGGCGCCGCGCGTGAACTTCCTAACCAAAATCTATCACTGCAATATTGACTTCGATGGCTACATCTGCTGGGATCTGTTGAGCACCAAGTGGACCGCCCTGATTAATGTGTCCACAATCCTACATGCTGTCTGCGCCCTGATGCGCGAACCCAATACAGATGATCCGTGCGACGAGCTGATGGCCGCACTCTATCGCGACAATCGCCAGGAGTACAACAACAATGCGATTGACTGGACGCTCCGCTATGCCATTGCTCCAAGCGTGACGCTGCCTTCGCTGCAGCTGCAGTGCCAGCCGGTGATGATTGAGGAGCAGGACGATGATGACGAGGACGGTGACCGGGACGGGAATGGTGATGGTGACGACGAAGAAGAAGATGATGACAATGACGAGGCAGCGTATGATGAAGACGAAGATAACGACGACGACGACGAGGAGGATGACGAGGAGGAGGACGAGGAGGACGACGACGACGAGGAAGTTGATACAGATGATACAGAGCCAGAGCAAGCTGACGCTGACGAGTCACAGCTGGAAACTGACGACGGGGAGCTGGCTGCTAATGAAATAACAACAAACGCTTAATTATAATATTCCCATGAATTTATTTATAATATATAGTTTAAAAATCCAGCTCGCAATGTGCATCTTGTATCCTCTCTCTCAAGTCCATAGACCCCAGAACGCTTCAACTGCCCGCATTGTGAGCAGCACCTGGACCGCGAGGCAACCATGACAATATATCCAGCTCGTTAATACACAATACGGGCTGCGATGTCGACGGTATTGCCAGAGCATCAAATGTGGGATTAGACTATGACCTAAAATTAGTAATAACTTATCTATACGTATTAATAAATATCTATCTATATCAAATTGACTAACTGACTGACTAATGAAGAGCTAACAAGCTGCACTTTGCGCTGTAGCCCTCTGTGATGATAGGTTTTGATTCTATATTTTTCCTTCTTTCCGCCAAATCCACCTTTCGGGGTGAAAGATGAGGGACTAAGCCTGTTTATTTTCGTTCGGTTATTTTTCAAAAGTGACTATACGTGCCAGAAGTAATATATATATATATATAATTTATAACTTAGTAAATAGATTTTTATTTATATATATAAATATCCAATTGTTCGCGAATTGCTAAAAAAATAATATAATAATAATATGCTATATACACACACTTATAAGAAATATATGGTACTATACACCTATTAGTCTTCATAATTAATTTAAATACGATACAGATCGCCTTTTATGATATGACAGCTCGTATTCTTATAAGAGACTCTCTGAATCCTTAGGCCCATATTATACAAAAAAAAAAAAAAAAACATAATACTTTCATACCTTGTATTTCAAGCATTTTAGGTTTCCAGTGCAGAGCATTGTATATTCCGAATTGACCCAACTGATTTATTGACATCATTTCTCGGGCAAACGAATGCGATTTGAATGCCATCAATCTGAACAAGGAGACAATCATGATGAAGAATTCAGCTTTCGGCTGGAATGTCGAATATCAAATACCCTCGATCAGCGTACATTCAAGTATGACAGGCATAAAGTTGTATATCTCGTTCTTAACTTAAATGGGAAACAGCTTTGTTGACAAAATAAAGTTACAAAACTAAAAGCAGGCTTGAATTAAGTAAAATATAATTACTTCGTAAAATATAAATACGGGAACTAAGACTAAAACCTTTCAAATGTTTCTTTATTTGAGTCTTTGTTTAAAAAAATACTGAAATAAGAAATTCCCTTTCACGTTCAAAAACTTTTATATTTGAAGAATACAACAGTAACAAGTTTAATCGTTATATGCCAAGTTTATTGAATTAAATAGAAATATCTGCAAAAAAACAAAGTGTTAGCATTAAAAGAGCTTAGCTTATATCTGTAGGCATTCATTTATTTATTTCTACTTTTCCTTAATAATACAAGCCTTAGGCGTTACACATTTGATAACAAAATCAGAATACTCTCAGCAAGCGTATAAACATATTGCTGTGCTTATGTATCTTTTATTATAGATATGCATCTCGAAACTTAATCAAGCAAATATTTTTCACGTTTTTCCTTTACGTAGACAACCCATTCCCGCCCCTCACCGAAATGTTGAAGGACGACTTGTATTTTCTTGTTTTGTTTCCAATTTGCATGCTGGCATCTGGTCAAGTCCTTGGTCAGTTAAAGAGTTTTTGCTTTAGTTCGGTTTTCTGTATTCAATCTTAAAGATACATTTGTATCTTTGCCCTTTCACACAGATACACAGACATACATAACAGATAGTCGCGTGCGTTGTGCCTATAAGTATAAGTTTCTATGTGTGTGAGTGGCCATTGCATGTGGCCATCATTTGGAGCTGGGTTTCAGCTAAGCCCCCGCCCCGCCCTTCGCCTACCACCCCTGGGAACCAAATGGTACCCGGCCAGCTGTTGGCTTCGTGGATTGCATGCAGCTCGGTCTAAGATACGTAAAGCTGTTGTAGCACATTTAACTAATAAATGCACTTGCCATACACATTTTTAGATGATGCACTATTCCCCATTCGCCTTCAACCCCTGTATCATATCCTCACAAAAGGCATAAGCTTTTGTAACAGTTGAATGTTGGCAACTCCATATAATTCATATACTTTTGTTGTCCCTGGCAGCTTAAAATATCTGATTAAATATGGTAGCTGCTTTTGAACAAAGAAGTTGGCTTCACAATACGGAGTCCACACTTAGAAGACATCGATAAATTTTGTAACGTATATAATACGATTTTTTTCAGAAAGAATAATTCAAATTTATGGACAAAATGAATAATAAGAATAAAATATATGTTTTAATATTATTTAATTATATAAATGTGAATAATTCTATGTCTGTTCATTCAAAATTCGTGGCTTATAATTATTGTTAAACATTGCCATAGTCCATTTATCTGAATTCATTCTATTTAAGCTCAATGGACACCTAATTTTTCTTTGCATGATATTACTTTTTATTTAAATTGACATCATTTCGTTCAACCTTCTCTTAAATCTTATCCATATCTTAATATCCCAACGTATTCATTTATATTACTTAATCCTTAAAATAATACAACATCTTCAGGATATACAAATATTGATTTTCGTATTTGATTTATAAAGTTTTAGAAGAGCTTCTAGTTCTTCTCGTACAAATCGTGAACTAGTTCTTTAAGCAACTTATTCAGTTATTATCTGAAGAACAATATATCTGTCAGTATCTTTTAGCTTCAGGATAGTTGATATTTCTAAAAACATGAAAGTCGCGGTGCCCTGTTGTATATATGTACAGATCGGCGAGTGTGTTTATTTAGCTTGAAAACAAACACAATAAAAATAATGTATATACGTATGTAAATAGAGAAGGAGAAGTGCACGAGCAAGAGAAAGCGAGTGTTATTATACTGCTGGCACTGTCTGATACAATATATACCGATTATCAGGTGTCAGTTTCGATGTTTACGAAGACTTCGACAAATTCCATTTGCCAGTGTGTTCATATATGGCAGCAATCGCTGGCCTTATAATATTGAGGGTCAAGAACGAGCTACACACACACAAGGAAACAAGGAAACGGAATGGAAGGAATGGGAGCGGTGGGGAGTGGAGTGGAGTGGAGTGAGGTGGGACTGTGGTAGCAGACGGGCCAAGACAGACAGGGCAAGACACCAACTGAAAGGGCTATTCACGTCGTACAATCAATTGCTATTAGTTTTCATTACAGTCAAATTACCATAAAATCACATAGACCGTTAGTTGAGTTCGTGCCTTACGGGTTGTTCGCGTTGCCATTTGTCGCTGCTGGGGTTGCCACCTGACCGCAAGGCAGCACACTTTTTCGATATTCATAGAATAATTACACTTTATCAAGGCAGCGCAGTTCATGAATTAACACGCACCTGGTAAGGGGCCACTAAGTTGAATCGAGTGGCCGCAGTGGCGTTTCCTGTTTCCTGCTTCGATAGTTTCCTTTCGGCTGCTGTTGCTGTTGCTGCTCTGGGTTGCAAATTAGTCAAGTTTGTTACGTTTATGTGAGAGAATTACTGTAATTAGAATATATTGAGCAATAAAAGTGATTTTTATTATTGGAACGCACAACGTGAGCTCGGACCGAGCATCGATGCTGATGATGACGGTGGTGACACAAAGGCCACAGGACTCTCGGGGGTGCCGGACACAACACACGCACACACACACACACACATACGCACAGGTATAGCAAGTGGAATAACTGTAATGGGGTCAGGACATTGTCGACATTCTGGCCTTTTGTGCCTTTGTAGCTCATTTTATGCGGCTTCTTTAAGCCAGTTGCCATTAAATGGTGCAGCGTTCACTTTTCTTATTGTTGCAGCCAAAAAGGCATTCAGAGAGAGTTAGCCAGTTGTTAAGGAACTTGAAGGACTGCCCATAGAAAGGCGACCCTCACCCTTCCCCCATTCAGCTGTTTTAAATGAAAATATTGCAACAGCTTTTCTATGGATTATGATAAAGTTGCTCAGTTGCCTGTTAAAAGGTTGGCTCAAGAAAGGTTATACGAATGGGACGCTGGTTGGAGGCGAAGCCAATAGTTCAATGTAAGAACAAGAGAAAAGGATTAAATGGCAATTTAATCAAGACATTGAATACTTTACAATCACCAGCTCAAGTAAATTAAGTACCAAAAGAAAGAAGTGCTCGACTAGGCGATACCCAGTACACATTCTCAGTTTCATGCATATCCATGAGCTTCAGCTTCTGGCTTTTATCTCCATATACGCTTCCCTACTCAAGAGATGTTAGTCTTTCTTCTACTTTTGTTTACCTATAAAGGACAAAGTATCTTTCAATGGCCCCCTCCTCCTCACGACCCGTCTCGTGCTCACAAAATGGTTTACAGTTTAGAGTTTACAGTTTACAGTTAACAGTCTTGCAGTCACAAGTCACAAGTCACAAGTATTTCAACTTTGTGCAGAGTATCGTGCGGTCTGCTGCACTCAACTGTAACGTTCCTCTTGCTTGCTACTTATTAATTTATTTTACATTTCTCTGTCGTAAAAAATTGACAATTGCTGCTGAATTTGAACCGGCGAGTCGCTTGCCAGTTTGACGCTCGGACACCTAAGTTACACAGGCTGTTGATGTAATCTTTAATATAAATTTTATCCACATTTTTCCCCACTGGCGGATCTAATTTTCCATCTTGGGTTTCCTCTGAAAAAATCATGCTGGGGTTGCCTGAAAGTTGATTTTCGTGCAATTCGCTTCGAACTCTGGGAAACCGAAGCGAGGGCCGAGGACCGAGGACCGCATGCATTGCAAATTAAAAATCAATTTGGTAACAGGTACTTGGCTAATGCAGTCTTTCATTTCAGCTGGCTTTTGCAATTACTGGGCCAACTGAGATGACAGTTAATGTTGTCGCTGTGTGGCAACATTGTCAGTGCCCCAAGCGGCACTCAACAGCTGCCTATACGCAAAATGTGTGGCACTTCATAAAGACTGCGCCGAAAATTAACTTTGACACACACTCCAACAGCTAACTGTGTGTGTGTGTGTGTGTGTGTGTGTGTGTGTGTGTGTGTGTGTGTGTGTGTGTGTGTGTGTGTGTGTGTGTGTGTCTGTGTGGGTGCCATAAAAACGCAGCTCATTGGCTCCTAAACATGCCGTTTATGAGCACACACTGCCAGTCAGCGATAGAAGGTTAGAGAAGATGGTCTGTAGTAAAAGCAACATGGACTAAGTACTGCTCCATAGCTGTCATTGGGCTGACCATAACGTTGCATTGTTGTGTGTGTGTGTGTGTGTGTGTGTGTGTGTGTGTGTGTGTGTGTGTGTGTGTGTGTGTGTGTCTGCGAGTGTTGGCTGCCAAGAAGCGAATGTCAATAGCCAAGAGCAGCTGTCAAAACACAGACGTCCTATGTGCCCGGGCTGTTAATGTAATTTGACAATGAATCGTTGCGTCCAAAGTCCAACTGTACCAGTCGACTGTGAACCGAACGCACAGTGCTTCGAACATATGGTGGAATGGGGCGAAAATCATATCTCCAATCAATGTCAATGAATATATTGCAATTATTCCAATTATCGCTTATATATGGTTACTAAAACCATAATTAACCGATATATAATTGAGTTGTTAGCCAACCAGAAAATAGAATTAGCTATAGTATAGTCAATCAATATATATATAGGTATTACATATTTTTATATGCCTAATGATATATGTTTTTTAGACATATTTTAAAATCCTTTTATGGGCTTAGAAACACAAGATACCAAACTTCAAATCTGTCAAATAGTTAGTCAAATATATCGATAACAGTAATCGATATCAAACATCTGAACTCTAGTCAAAGTTTTGCACTTTTACAATTTTTAATGCGCTTCGAAATATATCAAATCTGACAGATATTTCATAATATATCGATAACAGCAATCGATATCAACATCAATATCATCGATATCAACGATCTGACTGCTGTTTGTGGTCTTCTACTAGTTTTTGCCCAGTTTTATTGAACTTATTTGCTCGAAGCACTGTGCACCTATTCGACGGCCAAGCAGCATGTTCTGAGTTCAGAGTTCTCGACTCGTGGGTGGCCCTATGCAACTTAATCGATTGGCATTGTGGCGTTTTGGGCATTTTCTAGGTAATCGACTTTGATGGCCAGCAGAGACAGTACATGGAACTTAATGAGTTGCCGCACATTCTGCTCCTGCTGCCGCTACGCCTTGGGGGATGCACATAAATCGCCGATGGTCGTTTATGAAAACATTCGCCGGGGCCGTTAAGTTCGAATATGCGTTAAACTTGGCACTTTCGGCCGCCATTTTGTTTTATTTTCACTGTTTCCGCCGCCATGCAAAAAGCTTATAAAATGCGCATTGCGAAAACAAAAAGTATTTTAATAGAGCTGCGCTTTCATAATGCTGTCCTAACGTCCTTAATGTGTGTGCACTTAAATCTATAATATAAGAATGCATAAAATACTGCATAGTATAAATTATAATATGGTTTGGGAGGGTGGTGGGCGCTTTTAGGCTGGACCTGTTTTGCAAGCGACACGTTTACATGGGCACTTGAAGCTTTTATGCTTTTACATACATGCTGAGCTTTTGCTTGCAAAGGACTAGACATAAAGAAAATATAACTATTGTGCCTAGTAAAAGCTTTAGAGTTGTAATTTTTTGCTTCAATTTGTATTATAATTAACTCTTAAGCAATATGTTGTTTGCTGTAAAAGCTCAAATGCAGCATATTAGAGTGCGAACATCCAAGTTATGCGTGCAACTGGATACATTATTATTATTTAAGCTTTTGAGCTTTTGATGTTAGGTATGAAATATATATACAATTCCATACATACGACTGATCTGGCAAAAGCTCTAGCTTGCTGTCAGCTAATAGTTGATATATAACATAAACTTTCATTTGCTTCTTGCTCTGGCAAAAGTTTCTTTTTTTTATGATTGTCGTTTTGCGTAAGCTTGCAGCTGGAGCACCAGATCGATCTTTCGAGCTTTTGCACTTGCATATTTTGTAAAAAGCTTCCAGAAACGAATGCAGAGCTTTCAGTTTAGCCAACGACTAAGGTCCAGCCTAAAAGCAGCATAGGAATATTGCATTAAATTAATGCCATGTTAACGCAAAATTGAGTTTACAAATCCAATCTGCCGTTGCCAGCACCGATAAATGAAATGCACAAATGGGCGTTTATGGACACATGACCACATAAAATTACAAGCTTCACGGCTAGCTTTGCCACTGGAGTGCGTCGTGCGGCACAGGACTTGGACACTGTGTCGTAATCGGAGCAGCTAGCCATTTGGGCAGCATCTTTGGATGACCGACTAGAGCACCTGTGACGGCGGCAGCTGGACTGTGTCTCCAGTAGCTGTTGCAGCTGCTGAAGGTATTCATTTGGGCAGTCCGGTTTCGATTTGTGGTTGGACGGTCTCTAAACTCCAAGAGGAGGCTGGGGGCTGCAAGCGCAGAGCGGACTCTCCAACAAAAACTTAACAAGCTGGTCAGGCGGCCAAATAGATAAACTGGCGCCACATGTTCCGCAATTTGACTCCATTGCACATCAGCTTAGGTGGCAAGGTGTTGGCCGAGGCACACACAGCACACAGCAGCCACACACACAGCACACAGCACACAGCATGTGCATGCCACAGACAAGCGTTTCAGATTTACAAAACATTTTATACATTGAGGGCGAGGGTTCAAGTCACAGCTCAGATTCGCCAAGGGTTCGGGCATTTGTGGGGCATGCAACGTCTATGTTTGCGGTGGTCAGGGACGAATGTTGATGCCATTTCTACTGCTGCTGCTGCTGCTGCTGCTGCAGCAGCACGTCCATCAGTGGCCCATTGTCTGTGTCGCGCATACATAATGAAGTGAACCAGAACTGTAGCTAGCTACCCGCTGGCTCCACGCCTGTTGCATTTACCTGTACCAGTTCCTGTTCCGCCTAATGACGATGACGATGACGATGACGATGATGAGGATGTTGATGTTGATGATGTTGATAATGAAGCTACTGTTGCTGCCATTTTGGGGCTGGTGGCGATTGGCTGACTGTTTGTTAGCGCGCATTGTGGTGGGTCCTGGTTCAGTGCACGATATGAGCGGGATGTGCGGGGTGTGCGGGGTGTGTGGCGTGCGGGTTGGTACTCGTTCCGTGCATTGATAGAAGCGCAATTAGCACTTCGATTGTGTTCGGGTTGACGCGATTTGCATCAAATTAATGTCTTCATCAACGGACAAACAGAGCGACAATTTGGATAAACGAACGAACGAACGAATCATTTTTGACAAAGGTCAAAAACAATTCACACGTCAAGTGGGGGGAAGCACTCCAAATCCGGTTGCACTTGTTACATTTGACTGCCAGTTCAGAGAGTTGACTAATCAAGAGCTGTTTTATAATTGCATAGCATATTTTCCAGCGAGATTAATTTTTGATGATGGATGGGGCTGGAGCCGGTTCATTCAGGCACCGGTTCAATCAATTGCTTAACTGTGTGAACCGGTTCGCGGATAATTATTATTAAGTGGTTCCGCCTCATAATTAATAAAGTAGAAGTACTCTAGTCGAGAGTGCCTCATCAACAAATACGCTGTTAATGTTCTCACGATCCTTTTTGAGTTTTTTTTTTTCAACCTGAATGCTAAACTAAATTGTGTATATGTATATATCAAAATGCAAACTCCTTTCGGAGAGACCGAGCGGAGGAATCCAAGAAATACAATATTTGCAATCAGAACGAGAGTCTATATGCATAATATTATAAGCACAAACATATCTGCTAGAACATTATTTTGAGCATAGAGTATTATGAATGTGAAAAATAGGAAACTGTTAATCAAAGTGGGCATTGACTAACCTATTGAGGTCTTAATTCTCAACAACTTCAATAGTTCAGTACTCTAAGGAAACTCGGTACATTCAGTACAACTTTCCCAGTACACTCGAACATCGTGGGTTTTTTTTTATTTTGGTAAATTTTATATATATATGTATATATATTTTGTTCCATATTGTGACTGAGGCGGTCTTCCGAGATGAGTGTAAATCGTTATAACTTCTCGCTAACCACATTCAATCCGGCTGGCGAGCTGAAGCAGGTGGAGTATGCCAATAATTGTGGGTCGAAGGGTGCGCCAACTGTGGGTATCATAACGAAGAACGGACTCGTTTTGGCCACAGAGAAGAGGATCGACTCAAAGCTTACGATCGGACGTACCGTCAAGAAGCTGGAGAAGATAAGCTCGCATATGGCGATGGCCTATTCCGGCATGGCTCCAGATTTTCGCATCCTGTCAAAGATGGCGCAAAAGACGTGCGCCGCATACAGCTTGGTCCACTCGGGCATTGTGCCCGTCGACGGCATGGCGATGGCCGTTTCCAACACCATGCAGGAGTTCACCCAATCCTGTGGGGTTCGTCCATTCGGGCTATCCGTCCTGCTTGGCGGCTGGGAGAGGGGGCGTGCACGTCTCTTTCGCTTGGATGCCGCTGGTTCGCTTCTGCCCTTTAGAGCCTGTGCCGTCGGCAAAGATGCAGAGCAACGCATGGCATTTCTGGAACGCCACTATACTCCCAGACTTACTATGGAAGTCGCCATATATCTGGCCATTCAGGCGATCAGGATGGGCAACGAGCAGTCGATGCCGGCCCAGCATTTCGAAATTGGCATAGTCGATAAGACTGGCTTCAGGCGCCTGGACATCGCGACAATCGAGGCCTATTTAACGAACATTGACTAACAGCAACACGACGCAGCTCTTTTAGTGTGCAAGTTTATAGTGTGATACGTGGGAATGAAACACATTTAATTTGATCACGTTTTCGGTTCTTTCAAAAACCCTTTTCAATTCATGCAGTGGCAATTAATCGGGGCTGGATAGACTTTTAGTTTCAACATTATTGGTAAGTGATTGGTCGAAAGCTTAAAATTGATTGGGCTGTAGAAAGATTCAAGTCGACTAATCAAAACGGATGCAACGATGGATTTTATGTACATAGACACAAGCGAGGCGTGTAGCGATCACTCTCGGCTTTTGCCATGGCACGTTGGAATGAGACGTGTTTTCTTTTCATTTTATATTTAAGAAATTTTTCGTTAGAGCTTTCATGGGAGCCTTTGGCACAATGGAACGTTAGTGCTCGCAAGCAAAAACTATAAAACTCTAGCATTCATTCAATCAAAAACCTCATAATCCGCACATCAATCAATCAATCGTTAATACCCAAGCTTCATTTATGATATAATTTTGTGATATATAATTATGTTTACCATATTTTAAATGCATTTGGACAATTTAAGCAATATTTCAAGCAAACGCCACAAACTATCAATCGATCAATCCAACTGGCACGTCAACTTCAATAAATTAATTGATTGACAATCAATCGAATACACAACCTTTCATATTTTATAATGTAATAAGAGTTCATGTAAGTCTAGCATTCATTCAAGCAATACATTTAAGCATCAATCGATCATCAATCAATCGAATAAAAATTTTTATATATATATATATATATATGTATTGTTAATTCAAGCATCAAGCATGCAAGCCAATCGATCAATCAATCGATAAACACAAATTTCGAACTCGCACAAGCCACAATGGAATGAAACGCATTTTATTTGCTAAGCGCTTAGAAACGATGCGAATGCGAAACGCGATAAGCGACAATGCTCGCTAAGCTTCTCCCGTTTCCGGTCGATAAGCAACAATAAATTATCGCTACTCGCTACGGTTAGCCGCGCTAAGCTCTCTCGCTTCCAGTGTAACCCATAACTATAAGGGCGTGTTCTCATCTTTCACAGCGATCTGTTGCATCCGATTTGATGCATTGTTTTGGATTACACTTAAGGGTTGCCGGTAGCACAGCCAGAATCTAGCCAAGCGGCAGCTCCACAATGCAGCGCCATAACCAGACCAAAGGGGATGCCCGGGTGAAGATGTGTACTACGATGGGGACGACTCTCTCTCTGTGTGTACCTTTCAGTTTGCCGATGTGTCAAGTGGCGCTTGCGGGGCTGCTTGACCAGATACCCGGCTAACTGGATGCCGGGGCTAGGCGTTGGCGTTGGCACTGGCGTTTACCTGGCGACCAGAGTTGTCGTGTTTTTGTCTCCCGGCATCCTTTATTTATATATTTTCTTGCCTGGGTTTTGGTTCCACATTTTTTTTTTTATACTTTTATTTCAGTTGCCTTCAATGCAATTATACTGGATAAATATCTTCTTCCGTTTTAGCTGTAATTACAAAAGTTTAATTGAGTTTTCTCGGCTCGTTGTGTTCGTTTCTTTTCCCTACTTCATTTTTTTTTACCCCCCGAACCGTCTGCTTCTTCTCTTTTTGTTTTGCACTTGTTTTTGTCCTGCTGCTGCTGCCGCCGCCGATGCTGCCGCTGCTTTGTTGCTGTCGTCCTGTTCGGCGCTCGTCGACATCTCTGGCGCTGGCTGTCGTTGCGGCTGGCTAGAAGTTTATCCAGCATTCCTCTCTGTTAAGTCGTCCTGGCGGGCTGGAGCTGGAGCTGGCGCTGCAGCTGGAACTGTCGTCGTTGTCGCCGTGGCTGCTGTTGACGCTTTTTCCATCTGGATCTGTGGCCGCCTGTCTTCATCTCCAGCCTTACTTTTTTTTCTCTTTTCCTTTTTTTATTGTTGATGTTGCGAAAAAGAGTTGTTTTCAGCCTGCCAGGCCTGTCTATCTAGCGCCACGTGATTGTTTTTCGCCACAACAACAACAGCAGCAGAGTGACATAGAGAGAGGGGACGAGAGCGAAATGAGGGGGGAGGTTGGGGAATGGTCTGGCAGACAGCGGCGCGCCTGAGGCTGAGTGATTTCTTCTAGTTTGGGACGTCCCAAGGACAGGCATAATAAAAAGTGATTAAAACGGAGAGCACTTGTATTTCAACTTGACTTTAAGGCGCTTGCCCTAACCTCACTTGCAGCAGTGCTGCCAATTTATTTTAAATAAATAGCGAAAGTGTTGAGTAACGGCGCAAAGCAAACGCCTCACGCACACACGCACACACGCACACACGCACACACACAGACAGCAGGCATGGCAGTTGCCGGCTGAAACATACGGATGAGCGGTACAGATTCTGGTTAATTTATTCATTGCAAATTTACATGCTCATGTTTGCAAATTTAAAAACTGCACACACTCACACATTTACATATTCACAGCAAAAGAGACGGCAAATGCATAGTTAGAAAGTGTGCGAGTGGGAGGCAGCTAGAGAGTGAGAGTGCAGAGTGCCGAGAGGTGCAGGGGCCGTGCCAGCGAGTTTATTCAAAGCAGACTCTCCTAGTAATATGTAAATCGCATTGCCAGTGCCAAAGTGGAGTTTGCTCAGAGTCAGCAGGCTTTCCAGTTGCAGCTGCAACCGCAGGCCCTCAGCCCACCCCAGCCCTAGCCCCAGCCCCATCTAGATTCGCATTCGCATCAGCGCCTCTGTATGGCGTAGCGTTCAGTTATTTTCCTATGGGAAAAATCCACTTGGCGCTACCCCAATATTTACATATCATAGTTGGCTCCACAAATGAGTTGGCGGGAGAGCGAGAGAGAGGGAGGGCGCTCGCCAGTGTTGTATATCAGTGAGGGCGGAGTGTTGAATACGGCGGTAAAAGTACGTGCCAAGTGACTGCGACATGTTGAGTTAAACAGTCAAGCCTATTGCTTATACGAACATTCATATGTGTTTCTAGGAGGAAGTCCAGTTTAAAAATGTGAATAGATATATATAACCAAAGTGTCTAGAGAACAAAGCACAATCTAAACAAACCGCATTAGATTCGAATCAAAATAAGATACATTTTTGACAGTTAAAAGACTGGCAAGAGCCTAGCTCAACGCTTCTAAAGGTATTTACTTCAAATGTTTATAAACCTAAAAAACAATCGAATTCTATATGCATCGATATATAAAGCAATTAAAGTATCGATCTGAGCAAATAACATTTTCAGGGCTGCAACATTGCCGTTGGGCTTAGGGCTGCGAAATTTCCATCAATTTCGATCGACAGCTGAGCTTAAAGCTTCAGCATTTGAAATTTGTGTGTTTTATTGAGCAGCAGGCTGTTGTGTATAATTTCTATATTTAGAAAAAGATTTAACGTAACAGGTCTGAGCTTGACAAGCTCGTTTCAGTATGTTCATAACTCGCATCGACCCTCTTCAATCTTACGTATTGCATAGGTTTAATAAAATGGAAAAAAAAGCAGTTATATAAAAATATAATATAACAAATTAGATACGCTTGAGTAATCGAATATTTATGATGAAACATGAGCGGCAACCAAATAATATGTGTACGTATATGTATACCTAAGCAACCCCATAAACCATAACTGCGCGCAATACTGAAACAAAAAAAACGTCTCGCTTGGTAGAAGCAGGAGCACATACACACTCGCAGACACACTTGGAGAGGCAAGAGAATGGCGCTTGTCAAAACAAATCCGTAAGAGATTACATTAAAAGGCGCATTTGGACAGCTCAATAGCAAAATAGAATACACCTATTCGAACATACTTACATACTCGAATAACCGGTGATATACATACGTACATATATGGAATGCACGCTGTGCATGCGGAAATATCCCCAATGGATTTACCAGACGCCAGTGTGCACCCAACTCAAACCTGGCCCTTAAGTCCCTGTATCCTTGTTTCTTTAGCAACGGTTGCGGCATCGCGGGTTTTCGCTTTTCTATGTGTAGGTATGTCTGTGTATCTGTGTGCTTGTGTGTTTGTGTGCTGGCAATGATGGAAAGTTCTGTAATACGAACTGACAGTAGTTTTCATTACGAATTCATGCAATTTTGTACTTTTTTTCTTTTCGATTTTTGAAACAGGCTGCAGCATGATCCACCATAAACAACAGCCGCACAACGTTTACCCAATTCCTAAATGAGTTACTCGGTTAAGACCTTTGGAAAAGCGTCTGTCAGCTTTGAGCCGTGTTATGATAATGCGTCAATGTTTTTTGAGCTACCTTTAAGTTGGCAAACACTCTAATAACATTTAAAACTAAATCTATCAGCACCATATCAACAATATATTTCCTAATTGAAAAAAGGCTGTTAATTTGTGCCTAACCAACACTGTGCGCTGCAGAAAGTCAAGGTGGCAGCACTGCAACTCAATTAACTGCCTGGCAAATTCGAACTGACACATCAACCAAGCTGTAACTATATGTAGGTGCTTCAGGTATAATATTATGAATTAGCATAGCTGCAAATTCTATGCATGTTTATTCATTTGATTGCACACCAAACCTTAAAATACGCCGGTTATCGCTGCATAGATAAGTTCACCTTTGAGTAAATTTTGTCTGTGATTTGTTTGTGGCTGTGGAAATGTAAGCAAATGTTTGTAAGACGACAAAGCTGCTTACTAGATTTGCGTTGTTGTTCTTCTTCTTCTTATTGTTGTTGCGGATGGAGCATCTTGAGCAGACATTTCAACTGACAAATTGAATGGCGGGAGCGGGCGGGGGTGGGGGTGGGGGTGGTTGGAAGGGAATGTGTCCTTTGTCATGCAAAGTGCAAATGCTGTCTCCCTCCCACTCTGAATTTATCTGTTGAATTTGAATCTGATTCTGACCTTTGTCCATGACCACAGTGGGCACTCTATAAATTGTACAACTATTTTCAATAACAGCACACAATAACCAGCATACTTCAAGTTTTCAGGTATAGCCCATCTCTCTCGCTCTCTCTCTCTCTCTCTCTCCCCCTGGTCCTACGCTTCATCCAACTCTTTCTGGCTCACAGGTTGGCTTATTTAACTATCGCTGCTACCTTGACACGGCCAAAACGAACTGTTGTCCGGCGCCTAGTCTATGGGTCCGGCGTTGCCACCCAGGTGCTGCAGCGCATCTTCCCAGCCTCTCGTTATTCCACACTGGTTTTTGTCTTTGCTTGCGTTCTCGACTTTCGGCAACTTCTTGAAAGTACTTTACCCCCCACCAACGCCCCCCTCCGCCCATCGTCCGACAAGTTGGCATGCACAAATACATAAACAGTGTGTGTGGGTGTGTGTTTTCTATTATTTTTTGTCTTTTGGTAATTTAGCATATTTCTAAAGCATTTTGTTGTGGCTGCTGTTGTTGTTGTTGTTGTTGTTCTTCTTCTTCTTGCTGTTGTCGTCTGCTGTGTTTCAAGTTTTGCTTCACCGTTTGCGGTGCGCAAATGCAAATTGCTTGGCTTGCATATCCTTTATGCCTTTTGTTTTTCCTATATTTTCTTCGTTTAATACCCTTGCGTAGAGGGTATTCGAGTTTTGTTGCGAAAGGTGTGCACCATAGAAAGAAAGCATAAATATATTCTTGATCTGTCTATTTCTATGCCAGCTTGTTTTTCAGTCTTAAGGCTTTCAGCACGAAACTTAGAGTCGACTACATATCTTAAACAGTTCCCAAAACAGATCAGATCTTTATGAGAAACCTATTTGTTTTGCAACATAACTAGACCAAACTTATCATATACAAGCTTCAATAAGCTCCTTATATACATAGGTCTACTATATCATATAGCTTTTTAGAGAGAATCGATTGAAAACCTAGCTGTATAGTTTTTAAGGTTATCTTGACCTTTCTCAGCAACTACCACTGCCATCTGGCAGACCATATCAAATTGAAATCTTATAGGACCAATCAGTCGGAATGAGAGCTTCTGTATAGCAGCACTTCTCAGCCGCATACCTACAAGGGTATTTAGGTTTCGGTTTGTCGATGATAGCTTATTATTTTATTTATTTACTTTTTTGTTTTTCTGTCCACCCCTCTCGTAACCTGGCTGGGGTGCAGAGGCAACAGATGCTGATGTTGCTGAAGTGCGCCCAGCCGCGTTGATAGTTTTATTATTTGTATGCATATATTTCTTAACTTTGGATTTCAAAGAACTGCCGGCAAGTAAAGATGTCTCAAGTATTTTGGCTTAAACAGTGTATTAGCCAATAAGCAACGATTGACACTCCGAAACGAAGTCATTTTTTGTATCCCCTCCTAGTTAAACATTCAAATTTGTTTCCTTTGGGTCATTTGTGAAAAAATCAATTTTACTTAACTTTTATTTAGTTGTTCTTAGTTTTATTGCATTTTGAATTTGAATATGTAAGCGGCTCTTTAAATCTGAAAAGTTTAGCTTCATAACAGAATTAAGTGTATTGATGCATGGGTAGAGAGTATATTCTGCGTTGTCTCTCAGTGCAAATCAGGGTTATTCTCTGACCAACAGATGAATGTCTGAAAAATTAACAAAGATTTTTTAACAAGCTCAAACATTGTGGAGACTCTGCCTTGAGAGGGATCACTTTCCAGGCCATATATTAGATAAGTGTCCACTACCTATAATCATGCTGAGACCTGCTCTGCCCAGGAGGCCATCAGACTCCTTATTCAATGCAAATGACAGCTGTGAAGCCATTTGGATATATATAAGTATAGCTTAACTATCCAAGTTGCCCTGCTGCTTACGTGCAGTTGTCTAGCGAATGCAGTGGCATAATCATCAGGTCAACGACTGGGTGTAGTTGACAACAAGTGTCTGTGTCCCTAATTGGCTTCTGTTTGCTAATATTGACAGTTCAGCTGGTTTCCGAACAATCATCAGCAGCAATGGCAACAGTGTCCCTGTGGAGCGATTGACTATAAAGCATTATATATTAATATATACATATGTATTTTCATTTAATCGACAGCCTGAGAATTTAACTTGCATTGCCATGTCACACTGTGCACAGTGTGGTTGCCATCTTTGGAGTATCATTTTGTTTCTGTTTAGATCCTTGGACTGCAGACCGTCAAAATAAGTGGTGCGAATGGAGCGTGGAGTGCTCCTTTGTCCGGGCTTCGGGGTCCTGGGTTCCTGGTCCGGCTGCTGTTTATGTTGTCTCATGGTCGTGCGTCCAGATGTTTTGATTCAGTTTTAATTCATTTCAGTTGGCGGCGCCAGTGACTGTTATTGTTGCCATTGTTGCTGTCGTTTGTTCTTGTTGCTATTAAGAAAAACGCCTCCAAGAATAATCGACTAAACGAGCGAGCAAACGAGAATTGGTTGACGACGACCCTTCCTTCCCCAAATCGGCCAACACTCGACACAGTTGCCCTCGACATGCAGCCAGCCAGCCAGCCAGGCAGCCCGCCCGCCAGCCTGCCAGCCTGCGAGCCAGCCAGCCAGCCAACCAACCAGCCGGCAATAAAAATATGATTGTATTTTCGCTTGAGTTGTTTTCATTTCTCGATGATGTCGAGGACCGTGCTGTGGCCCGGGGTAGGCGACCGCAGTTTTACCCCAATTCCTTCTACAGTTTCCACTTCCTGCCGCCAGCGCCAACTACAGCATCTCCATCATCTCCGCTCTCAGTCCTCGGCCCAATGCATGGTTAAATCAAGCAAGCGCTTGCCAGCGGTCGACCATTGAACCGCTCCCGTCCGCTGAAGGCAGCAGCTACACGTTTTGTTGTTTTTGCTTCAGCTGGCGGATAACAACTTGGGGCCTTTGTTTTGTTTGCCGCCCACACACACACACACACACACACACACACACACACACACACACACACATACATGCACACACCAACACACATACTTGTATATCCATTTGAAATCAGTACGGCAACTCGCATATTCGCTACATTACATTCTTCGTTGCCATTAATCGTGGGGCTGCGGCTGCCCAGTTGGCCGGCAGCGCTGGCTGGCATCTTGAGGGCCTCAGTTGTCCGGGCTTGTGTTCATGACCGTCCAATGTAGTCGGTGTGGCTCTGGTCCCTGGTCCTTGGTCCTTGTTCAACTCGACTCTCAAGGTTTTCATATTTACTCGAGTGATGTAATTTTTGAATAGCTTAAGGCTTTTGAAAATATTTAGCATGGCAAATCCTTTTTAAACGTTGATTTCGACTGCAGTCAGAGCCGAAGGATGCCATGGCCATGGCTATTGGTCCGGTCCTCGCCACGTACCGCCCATTGTGATGTCGAGTACTTTGCATATGCATATGCGTATTATTGTTATTAATAATAATAAATTAGATGTTCTGAATGAGCGCTGCCCACGCAGAAGAAGAGCACAATGTTTTTGCGTTTCATTTACCACGGAATGCCCTTCAATATGTATATGTATCTGTACTCGGCAATCGATTATAAAGTTTAGGCAAAAGAATGTTACCGTTGCGGATGTTAACGCTCAAAATTTGCCTTATTTTCCATTCCCACTACGTGGATAGCGACGGATTTACTGCAGTGTTGGCAAACGATTATTGATGCATTCGGTATTCGGATATGCGAATGCATAATACATTTAAGATTATTGATTACCCTAAATTAACATTGTTTTACTTTGAATACTTCTTTGTGTTTTGCATTTGCCAACACTGCGTTTAGCTAAAGTTTTTCAGTACTGAGCACTGAATTTGGCCAGTACAAAGTAGAAACGGAAATAGAAATTGAGCACAAAATAATAATAATACGAACAAAAACAATAGCAGCAACTGTTGCTGGTCCTTGCCCACTCTCATGATTATTTTTGCTCTCATTGTAAACTGGTCGCAGCCAGTGCTGCAAAACAAGCTTATTTTACAAGGCTGGAAAGTGCTGAAAAATATTAAAAAAATAAAATAAAAATATTCATAAAATATATTCAAAAAAAAAAAAATAATAAAAAAAGCTCCATATAAAATATAGTCTCTTTATTTTTATTATTGCGAAATAGGCTTTAAGTATTTGATTGAGGTATCAATACAATTTAGGACTAATAACTATGCTTGTGTAAATACACGTCACCTATTTATGCATACTTTAATAAGGTGTACTTAGTTATAGTTGGTCACATTCAATAGATTGATGAGATACATTCTATAATTGATTTGTTGAGTGAAACACATGACTAATATTAAAATCAAAGACGGAGCATCCGCATTTAATCCTGTCCCAACGATTTCTTTTTACTTGAAATCAGGCTGAGAGCTATTATCATTTCATAATATTTTCTAGCTTAGCTAAGTCTAGCCATAAAATAGCTACAACCGCAGCAGTCGTCGCAACCGAAATAACAACAATAGTTGCAACACACACACACACGCTTGCACACTGTCCAAAAAGTGCGCAAAAACGCAAGAGGCAAATAAAAATTTGTAATGAAATTTTGTGCGCTGACATTTCGAAAAATTGCTTTTTAACCTTTGTGCCTTGGCTGAAAGTTGAATCCAAAGCCAGGCAAACTGGAGACGGAGCAGCTTCTACATGTCACTGACATGCTACACGTGTATCTCTTCGGCTTGGGCGCCACCTCGCCCATGTTGAGGTCCAAGGATGCGAGTGTGCGTGTGTGTGTGCGGTTAGATGCCAAGCAAAGTTGTGCAGCATCGAAATCTGTAAGCTGGAAACTCTGTGACATGCATTTAAGTTTTCGGCTGGCATGCACATGCAGATTATTATTAGGTTGTTGCCGCTGCAGCCCGTTGCCCCTACTTCAGGTGAGTGCCCCCCCCCCCCCCTCCCCCCCTCCCGTGTCGCCAACATACTCAAAGAAAAAAAACTTTGCCCATGTCCAGCTGGCTGAGAGGGGAGGGGTTGGGGCATTTGCCATTTGCCTTGCTATAAGTTTTGTTCTAACAAACCAATTACTCGCACCAATTTCCACAGGCTGCCTTCGACTTTCTCCTAGCCTTACATGATGGAAGAGTTCGACTTTGAGGCGGTGGATGCTCAGTGGGAAAGGTGAGCCGGTCTATAGCTGGTAGCATGCTACAACGAGACGGCAACGAAGCTGACGCTGATGCTGAAGGAAAATACAAATACGACTTTCAGTTACTTTTTCATTATTTTGCCAAGGAGTTTGTCCTTTTGCGTGTGCGACACATTCGGCAAAGACACTTGGCTCGCATGTCCCCGTATCTCAGTACCCCACCCCCACCCCCGTGCCCAACTCTCTGCCCCTCCCTGTGTCAGTGTGTGTGTGTGTGTGTATTGCAATGTTCAAAACATTGGCAGATGTCGCCGCACTAGCAAAAGTTACGAGAGCCCTGCTGCAACAGCAGGAACATGGCCGGCTAGGAGTGTGAGGGGGGGGGGGGGGGGCAACTGTAGCGGGCGCATCCGGATCTGGATGGCGTGTGTACACATGCCGAGACAAGGACAAGACTTGCCAGTCAACTCGCAGCCAAGGCAGCTGAGCAGAAATGTATAAGAAAAAAAATAAGGAGAAGTTGATATCTCAGCCACAACGAAGTTTAAATACCCTTGATGGCATGTGGTTATGTGACCACAATTTGGAAGCTCATTGCTGAGTTTAAAAAACACAACAAACCTACTTATTTATCGACTTCTTCTTTCCGTATGCTATAGTAGTCCGACCATGCTCATTAGTCGAGCTCGGTAACGACAAGTTTGCTTAAGATATCTAGAGAAACCGATAGGAACTTTATTAATGACCGATTATGGTTTTAGCAAGCATATGATATAGTGCTTCGATCCGGCCGGCTCCGACAAGTTTATTAATTGCCCTCAACCGAATGACGGAGCCATGCAAAGTCTTAAGGGCAATATCGCTTCGGTTTCTAATGTTGATCAAGAATGTATATCCCTTATGCGTTACATATTGCATGATAAAAATAAGATAACCTTTACAAAGGCATACAAAAGTTGCTACAAGTATACTTTCTTTTCTTTCTATTTGCCTTTTATTTTGTCTTTTTCTACTAATTTTTCTTGTTTTTTCCATTTAGCCCCCCATTTCCATCCACACTTTGCACACTGTTCACCGCATGTGCCCAACTGTGCAAAAGGTGAAGACGATGTATAGCAGAGCGGGATGAGGTAGAGCCGGGTGGCGCGGGGCGGTGCAGGGCAGGGTGGACAGTCTTAAAGCGGCTCTAAACAAAATTGTCTATGTGAAAGAAATCGTCGGTTCGACAAATGTGGGCATAAATAATTCATTGAAATGGATCAACAATTGCTTGGCACTCCAAATGGGCACAAACTAGTCCAAAGTTGAATGGAATCAAAGTGGATGCCGAACTAAAAATATTTATTAAAAAAATCTAATAAATTAAAAAAACTATGTCGCCCTTGGGAATGGATTGTATCGAAGTATCTTAACTCGAAATGAACTGGCATTGGACATCCTCTTCGCTATGATGAGGATAAGGATCTGATGGAGAATGGGAAATATTAACGTGTATTATTCTGTGCTTAAAGTAAGGGTATCTTTGAGGAAAAAAAAGACAAGCTTAGGAGGAGTTCATTAAAAAATTAAGTCACATATTCAACTGATTCTGAATACCATATAGCTCTAGGAGGCAATTGATATGGGAAAATAAGCAGGCTATAAGAGATGGACCCTATGAAGCAGGGCTGAATCTAGGAATCTAGGTAGTTTCATAAAATCGATAAGTATCGATTACAAATTCAACTCTCTTAAGCATATATTGGAGCTTATAAGATCTGGAGACGCCAAATTTGGTATGATAGATTATCGTATAGTGTGCATAGAAAAAGAATTTTAAAATTATTGGTAAAAGTAAACTAAAATAGTTCATATGATTTAAAATTAATTGACATAATTTCACAAATTCAGACAAAGGCCAGCGCAGCATTAAACAGATATCCATTTTATATACAGCACAGCTCTCAGTGGAGTGAAGATTGTTAATCTTTGGGCTTAAGTGTGCCCAAGAACTTGACAACTTATCTTAGCGCACCTGAAGCATAAACACCCGGCTCTTTTGTTATTGTGGTGTGGCATGTGCCACATGCAGCCGAGTCCAGAAGCTGTTTTCTGTTTTTTCCTCCCCCATTTCTGTTGTGAAGATTAAGTCGCATGTGGAACATGTCTTTGGTGTGCCGCTTGTGTGTGTGTGTGTGTGTGTGTGAGTGTGTGGGCGACGTAATCTTTGGGCTGCTTTGGCCGCTTAACTTTTTTCACTTGCACTTGCAACAGCCTCCGCTCGTGCCTCGTCCACAGCTTGCAGCATATTATGAAGATGAAGTAGCAACAGCAGCAGCGGCAGCGGCGGCAGCTCGCGTGTGCTGTTGTAAAAAGTTTTTAATTTTTCTTTTGAAACATTTAACTAAAAGAGAGCAAGTCCTTGCTTCCCACGCCAAAAGCGTTGCCAGCAACAGCGGCAACAACAACATTAAGGGTGCCGGCGAGGGGCTGAGGAATGGAGAGGGGATGGTGGTAAAGAAATTATCCTTTTCTTGCTTGCAACATCTTCTTTTGCCTTACAACTTTTGCTTGGCAAAATATCATACGCATAAAACAACATACGCCGAGACGAAAAACCCCCCAAATCCCCAGCCACTGCAAGCCCCCCAATCTCCTGCCCGGCCAGGACATCATATGATCTGAATGCAGCCCTCTCGCTATTTAACTTGCTTTATTTTTCTTTTAATGAAACAGTTGTTGCTCGCGGCATTATTATGATTATTATGAGGCATGCAAAAGTTGCAGTTAAAGCGTCGTGTAAAATAATATTTAGATGCCAACTTTCAGGCTGCAGTTGGTGGCTCCAACCGGCGTCCCCCAGAGCGCACTTCACACGCATACATACATCCGCTCTCAGCCTGTTTTGGCTGGCAATTTTGCAGTTTAATTAAATTTTGCCAGGGCCGAAAATCTGCGCAAGAAGACCGCCAAATGCGAAATGCCAAAGCCAGTTGTGAGTCCGGATTCGTGTTGCTGGCAGTCGATAGTCTACTGCTGGCAGTTGGCAGCGAATGCACCACAGCAATGTTGCTTTTAGTTTGGGAAAAGCCCTTAAATTAATTGAGTCTGGCCAGGCTCAGCCCTAAGCAGAGCTCAGCTAACAACCAGTTGCCAGTTGCCAGTTGCCAGTTGCCGGCTTTTGTGTCGCATCAGATTGACTCAAGAAGCCGCACAAGTTTCTCTCTTTTAGTTGACGAAATTAACTTGCACCGTTCTTGCCAACCCCCCACCCCCCTCCCACTCGTCACCCGTCACTCACGACATCTACACATCGCTCAAATTTTGTGCGAGTGTAAAAGCATTTGCATTTCTATGACTTCGAATGGGCCTGAAATTAGCTGCTTTTCTAATTGACATTACATTATTGTAATCGGCAGACCCGGCGGGAGTTGCCTTCCGCGGGAATTTGACGGATTTATCATGGTTAAGAGCACAGTCAAAGGGCTTATGCATGCAGTGGGTAAAAATGGCAATTGAATACTGACATGCAACTAAGACAAATTATACTCTACATTTCAATAATATTCTCAACAATAACATATCATGCTTATCGATGCCATGATTATTTCGATTCTAATTGTGCATTTTCGATTGTTATCGATCAGCTTTTTCTCATTTATCATATACAACACTGTCGGAATCTGCAACGGAACATCTTGTCACTATTTATTAGCTAAGATTTCATTTAATATTGTTTCCCATTTACAGTTGACTTCATGACTTGCCTACTTTCTTTTGGCATATTTGAAAGCACAACTTGGCGTACTTTCAATATTCAAATAATTTATTAGACAAAGAATTTTAGCATTTGAAGGGTTTCCGTTGTGGTGCTTAGCAAAAATCTGTTTGTACAGCTCCATGGACGCAATCAGCTTAAGCTACTCCTCAAAGCACATTGGATAAGCATCTTTGTCTGGTTTTTGTGACGAATGTCTGTCCAGACACACAGTGCCATTTGTACTTTATACAATTCGGACCGAAGTTGGCTGCCTTGCTTTATAGTCTGCCATTATCACTAGCCATATCTGGTGCACCCGCATGGTGAGCACAAACATTCAAAGCCGCAAATTTGTTAGCCGAGTTGCCGCTGTCATCAACAGATGCGCATCCCGTTTACTGTACACCACTGTACAGGCTAGTTCCAGTGGGAACAATGCAAAAGTCTACCAATTCCAGCATACCCGACAAATGCTTCCTCTTTTTGAGGGAGTGTGCCGAAACGTAGTGCCACAAATAATTTCATTAAAATTACTGTTATTCAAGCTATGGCGTTGCCACGTAGTCGTAAGAATCGGGCACCAGCTAGCTACAACTGTTGCCATAGTCGATAGTTGCATGTGGCCAACTATCGATAGCATATGTAACGGTTCGCTTTTTGCCCAAGAGTAATCGACATAAATAGATTTAAAGTGGTGTGAGAAAATATTTAAAACTAGATGTTCCCCTGTCCCAATTGTTCGTCAAAGTTAATTAAGCTGGCCCAGCCTATGAGATATTCCCTTGTATATACTTACATACACTACATATATATATATATATATTTTTATATACATAGCGGACACGAGGCCACATAGCGTTCGACTAGACTAGCCGGATGGACATCTTAATGGTAAGAACATCTAAAACAATTTTCCATTAATGACAACAATGTCAATTTCAGGCACTCGGGCTGTCCAATGGTGTTTTTCCCTTATTTTTTTTGTTCTTCATTATTTTGGTCGTGCGGCTGCAAAAGGCAAACAGCCCAAGTGCCTGGGCTGCTGGCAGAGGCGGAGATAAAAACGAGTAACGTAAGGGGAGAGGGCGGTCGTGGTAGCGGGTGGTGGGTGGTGCGTGGGGGGGTGCGTGTTGGTCAGTGCAGAAGCATCCTTTTATGATGACGTTACGAACGTCGCTCTCGGTTGACTGACATGAAACTGTAATGGAATTCAATAAAAGCTGAGAGTGCAGAAACTGTTTGACACGCAAACGACGAAACGGCTTTTGGGGTACATCGCATCGGCTCATGTGCGTTTGTCAGGCTCATTTGTTAATTTTACGCAATATCGTCGAATGTTCAGGGCCATGGCTGTCCATAGGTGGTATTACGCGGGACATTGGCTCCAGCATTCAACATGCGCAGATATTTATGCTCTGTGAAACATATGTGAAAATATATACATGTATACACTTAACATGTTTGCGGCATTTCGACTATATAATATTGTTTGCGCCCAACCCAGTCAGTTATCTATGCGGTACGCGCAAGGCCTGGTAATATTTGTAAGCTTTATTATTGTGGTGTTAAGCTTGCAGCTGCAGTGCTGTCAAGAAACAGTGCTGTACAACAAGCTATGCTTGTCGATACTAACGACAGCCATTTTGAGAAAACCAGCTATCGGTAAGTTAAGCCGATAAATTGGCTGGTCAAGAGAGCTTGGTGCTGGACTCGGCGGTTTGAGTTTCAACATTAATTTAAGTGGAAAAGATCTAAATCATGCCGCATATTGTGTCGCCGATACGTTCCAATCTCTTATTGCAAATCCTATTGGAGGGCAATCTGTACATAGCATTAACGTGGTGTGTCAGCTATGTGCTCTACATGCTCATCTATGTAGGTACTTTCTCGTAGCTTCCACAAGTACTTATTGACATTTAGTTTTTTGCAGGAGTGGCGCCAGGTGGGAGTGCCCGTATTCCTGGTCTTTACATTGGCCGTGATCACCGAGAGCTTGCGTATCTATGTGGGCTACACCCTCAACCTGAGCCCGCATGGACCGCGTCCCAAATTGTTGCTCTTCTCAACACTGGCCTTGAGTCTGCCATTGTTGTGCGCATTCTGGTATCTGCGCAGGCTGCTGCTCAATCAAAGTCTCTGGCTGCAGCTCATCTGCAATCTTTGGGCGATCTTCATAGCGCTGGAGCTGGTTGCGGCTGTGGGCATACTGTGGAGCAAGAAGTCCCAAGAGGAAACGCTGCCGAATTGGTCGACTATTGAGGCGAATCTTAAAGTGCGACGCCGTCGTCTTCAGCGCCCGCCTGGCCAACTTTACAAGTTGTGAATCCCCGTATAAGGTGATAATAAAAATGTCTGTACTCAGTTTGAATTGCAGAGCATCAGGTAGTTGGTTGCTTTTTAATTAACACGTTTTTGCAATATTGTCAGCGCCCGGCCAGGCCAGGCCACGCCCCCCATAGGTGTGTGTGTGTGTACACCTTGAATCCCCAATCCCTTTTGGTGTTGCTTTTATTGCATTTACTTTGCGACAAGCGACGATCCAGCGGCCAATGACGCCGCTTGATGGCCGAACCGGATGTCATTTTCAATAAAGGCGTCGCAGGCGTTAAGCCATCCACAGACACACACACACACACGCACACACACACATGTGGCAGATGAGACCTGGCTGTGTGGATGTTAGTGTGGCACTTTAATTAATTTCTTTAAGTTCATTAACATTTGACTTGCTTAAGCAAGCGAAAATACGACGATACAGCGAATGGGCGGATCCTTGAATCCGTGCCATTTGATGGCATTGTCAGGAGAATATTGCGTTCGCTACCTTCTCTTGAAAAGGCAGCATCTCATTTGGCAAAACTGTGTGTTTTATTGTTCTATCTTCAAATGTATGTTCAAATAAGTTATTCGGGCCACGCATGTAAGATCAGGGCTACACATATTCTATTTGTAGGCTAACAGTAACATTTGTTAGGTTATAATCATAATATTGTATGGCAACTATCTAGAATATGAGCCGGAAGTAATGCGATATGTTGTTAGCGATCCACATAAGCCTATTGACAATCACGGTTGAGTGCCATTTGCTTCGTGAAAGTGAAAACTTCAAACAATTTAAGATTAACAACAACTAGCTAACTGACATATTTATAACAAGAAAATTAATGCACACTGCAATGCGATTGCCGAGTGTTCGAAGCATACTTCTCAGCACTGTACGCATGGGCTTTTGGCGATTCTGTGCAATGCATCGATTACTTATAGAAGCGAGTACGAGTTCTTTCTGTAGCTCTTGAATATAATTGTTGTTGAATTTTCGATGAAACTCCTGAAATGTAAGTTAAAATCATGTGAGCACAGCAAGAAAACAATAGCAAATTCCCAATAACAATTTTTCCAATAACAAATTTCCAAATTGCACAACCGTTTAACTTAAAAACCCGGAAGCATGTCGAACCTGTCGAACGTGGCACCTCAAAAAGCCAAAGGCAGCACAACCGAAACGATGACCGTGGAGGAGCCGTCGGCTACGATGGCAGCCAGATCGCTGCCAGCTGGCGATGAGGCGAACAAGGACGAGAATGCGCCCAGCACTAGTCAGGGACAGCAGCGCGGTGCCTGCAGCAGCACCACCCACACAACCCACACCACCAGCACCACCACCACCACCATCACCAACAACAACAACAGAATGGGCTCGGCAACGCCAATGACACAGCTGAACGGGCCGGTAATGCGGATTAAGCGGGAACTGAACGAAATCATTGAAAATCCGCCGCCGAACTGCAACGCCGAGATGTACAAGGAGGATCTGTTCCATTGGAAAGCGATCATAATGGGGCCCAGCGGCACCCCCTATGAGGGCGGTATTTTTAAGCTAGACATACGCTTTCCGGGTGCGTATCCATTCCGACCGCCACAAATCCGTTTCATAACGCGCATCTATCACTGCAACGTTGACAGTCGTGGCGTCATTTGCCTCGATGTGCTAAACGAACGCTGGTCGCCAGTCATGAACATTGCCAAGGTGCTGCTATCCATTTGGGTGCTAATCGGCGAATGCAATCCGAACGATCCACTCGTCATGGGCATTGCCGACCAATACAAATGCAATCGCAAGGAGCATGACAAAGTTGCGCGCTACTGGACGAAACGCTTTGCAATGCCAAAGGCCAAACCGAACTCCAAGCTCGAGCAGGAGCTACTGCTGCCCTACATACAGGAGCAAGAGCCGGCGCCGGACCAGGAGCAAGAGCCACAGCAAGAGCAGCAGCAACAGCAACAGAGCCAGGCGCCAGAGCAGGAACAGGAGCCAGCGCTCAGTACTGAGACGAGCAGCTCAATTGCCGTCAGCGTAAACCACAGTCGTAGCGAACTTTAGATAGATTCCCATAATAAACAGTCTCCACACACACACACACGCACCAAAACACATATACAAGCGCCTCTTGGAGAGCTTCCTTGGTCGGAATGGGGGCTGGCTTGTCTTTGCCCACGCTAAGTGTAGGGCGTGAACAATTTGTGTAAACGCGGCGAGCGGACAAAAAATATGGCTTGCATAATATGCCAGGGCAGTGGCTGGTGGATGGTAATGGCCCCTCCACAGCAACCACAGAGCGCACCACCCCGTCCAGTCAGCTGCTGACGCCGCCAGATAGCTAGCCAAGCCTTTCCGCGTTCATGTCCATGAATATTCATGAGCTGCCAAAAATGAAGCGTGCACAAGGCGATGCTGGCAAAGGGTCGTCGGGATACGTAGGTGGATGGGGCAGAGCAGTGCGGGTAGCTTGAAAAATGAATTGGAACGCGAATAGGTTGAATGAGCGGTAGCTGGGAGGGGGAGCGGCAGTGGGCTTTGGGCAGCGGCTGAAGGTGTTGAAAGCAAGCTGCGATATACACAAGACTACACACACACACACACACACACACACACACACACACACACATTCATTCGCCTTGAACTGCAGAGTTGGCAACTCCTGGAGCAGAGCGAAGACGGTTTTTGGTATGGGTTTTACTTAATTAGGGCAAAGATATTTACACTTTTAATACAATAGGTATACTGCCATATTTAATATCTGGTGTGCTGCAGGAATAAACTTTATTTTAAGAAAAATTTTCGAGTTTCTATAGCCCTTGCAGGCATATATATGTGTGTGCATGTGCATGTGTATATGTATATTTATATGTATATGCATGCATGCATGCATGTATGAAAATATGTGTGTCACTTGCCTAATTAACGCATTTAAATATTGCCCTTCTATGCGATTCTCATGAATTCAAGTAGGCCTTGCAAGTCTAGGCTTTTACAGTAAGTTAAGTACTACATTAACAAGTGTTGGCGTTTGCTAAACGTTAGATATGTGTGTTTATATGTACATATGTGTATGTGCTATATACATATATCTATATATATGTACATATATATATTTCGTACGTACATGTGCATGTGCCTATGTGTATCTAATATAATTGTGCGTGGGTATGTGAATTTTTCTGTGAACCCTTGTTTATATTTATATAAACACCATTTATATCAATAATATTTATATTTCAATTGAGCAGTTTTTTTTTATATGGTTCTCTTCAGGCTTAGGCTTGGCTGTTCTTTATACAAATGTTCATGCATATCGTGATTTAAAATGAATTGTTGCCTTAAGTAAATAGACTTGAAATCGCAGATCTAAAAATGGCTAATTATGAAATACGAGTCGAGGCGGGGCGAGCGGCTGAAGGATAATAGCACAATTGGTATCAGGACTGTGCCTGGACAAGTCCGCTGTGTGGAAGTGGAGGTTAAGCAGGAATAAAACGGACCGGGGCAGAACATCTAAGCAAAGCGACACTCAATTTGCGAAATGCGATAAATTGAATGAAAAGTGTGAAAATGAAGAGGAGTCATCAGCAGCAGCAGTCAACAACAAAAACAACAACAACCGAAAAGTGGGCGGCGGGCGGGGAGGTCAGTGTTGCAAGCTTAAGCAGAAGTGAAGCGAAACACAAAAAAATGTAAATGAAAATTCAGGGAAATTTAATAATAAAAACATCAGCATAAAGTAAAACGCATAAAATCCAATGAAATGTAAAAGGCAACCAACGGGCGCCCGCTGGACAGACGCCATCAAGGATGTCCTTGTGTCCTGGGCGATGCTGCTGCTGCTGCTGCTTCTGCCTCTGCTCCTTGCTGCTGTCGTGTGTGTACGAAATAGCGTTGGGTAATCACATTGCGTCGCTCTGGCTGTGTCCTGCCCAGGCAGGATATGCTCAATTGAACATGTTGATTGCTGACAGCGCAGACGCTGCCGCTGCCACGTTGGCCCTCCTCAAATGAGGAGTCAATTGAAAATCAACTTAGAGCTTGCTTTAATGGAATTAGTTGTACATAGTAGCAGCAACGCAACCAGCATCAGCACCGGCACCAGCACCGGTACAAGCAGCTGGAGCAGGAACAGGAGCAGGAGCAGAGCATCGGGCGTCATCATCAACATCAGTTCCAGATGCACATGCAGAAGATATCAAGCAACGCATTTTGGGTTTATGCTTCAGCAAATCCAACCCTGCGTGCGTGCTAAAAGGTAAAACAACTATCTAAATACAGGCGTGCACGTACATGTGTGTGCATAGAGCCATTCTTTATGTATTTACCTACCCGTATGCATGCATAGATGCACATATGTGTGTCCTTTCGGTCAGCCAGTTGGGCGAACACCTAGAAAAACATTTGAATAGAGCTCGATTGATGTTGAGCAGTGTTGAAAAGCGTGTAAATGAAATTAAAAAGCAGCTACATGGCCACGCCCATACGCCCACACACTCAAACAACCCACCAGCCATCTACCCATTCATCTACATATCCACCCCCGCCTCACACATCCCTCCATTGCACAACTCAGGCGTGGAGCACAAAAGAAAAAATAAAAAACAAAATTGGAAAATATTTTACTCGATGCATCGATAACCATCTACCCTATCTCTAAATTATCAAAAGCCTGACGGCGAATGTTAGCTTTTAGAGCAGTTGATTGTGTTTCAGGCAATGACTGTGGATAATGCAGTCTGAGATAAATAATATCAATCTTAGCCTGAGAAATACATTTTCTTAAGCCATTTAAAAAATAGTTTAAACAATTATGAAATTATAAGTATATCTGAATATAAATTTATCTATGAAAATTAACTGAAAAGTTACCTTAATATTGCCGAAGTTTTGGTAATTACAAGTTTATTCAAAGTCAAATTTTGTCTTGGAATTATTCAATAAAATTATTTATTTTTCTTCAAACATTCAATAGAGTCAATAAATATGTCAGCCTTAGGTAAATATTTAAATCCAAAATATTCTATTATTTTCAAATGCATCTTAAAATCAATTGGCACCTTTTGCGGAACAACGGAAAACATCTTGGCAAATTGAAAGAATCTTTTTTTAATTGCCAATTTAATCTAGATAAGAAAATAAAACTCATATCCTGTGCTCGATTGCAATTGATTTCGTTTTGATAATTGGCGAACTTAAATCAAATAATTCTCCATCAAAAAGAGCGTTGCCTGTGAAGTGAGATGCACCTTATGCTTCGACCAGGTCTTGTTCTTAGTGAATGCTTCATTACAAACCCTTTGAATGTACCCGAGTGCAACGTGAAGTGTTCGAATATTGCAAACAAGCGGCAACCGGAGCAGCAGCTGTGATTGAATGAGTGCGAGCTTGAATGCTTGAGCGAATTGGTGCATCAATGAATTTGCGCCAGGAGGGCAACAGCTTAAAGAGTGTGGTTGGGTCAACGCGATAGGTGAAAACAGTTTAACCTCGTTTCACTTAGACTTTGCTTCTTACCAGAATCCAAAAGATGACGAAAAGGAGCACTTAGTTACAAGCTGAGGCATGGTCGAAATCTGAATCCCGCTTAGAGAATGTTGACAGACCTAACAGGTAATAGGTTTGCAGAAGACGAAATCTGATTTGCCATAGAGTTGGACACACCCAATGGAAATGCTATCCTGATTCCACTTCTTTCCCATCACGACAACTTATGCAGAACATACAGAGTAAGTAGTCCAGCATTTCAAGTTATGCTTTCCAACACTGACATTGTCGTCGTTGTAGTCGATGTTGTCATCGTTTTGCTATGGGGCGACGGTTGGACGGACGCATGTGGTCCTTGTGTTTTGTGTAACTTCCTTTGTAGCTTAATTGAATTTAAGCGTGCCTCACAATATGCAATGTTGCAAAATGCAGGGCACTAACAGGAACACACACACATTCGAGACCTAAGTGCATTTCACTTTGTCGCACGATTTGGTGGCATAGACGCAAATGCAGTAGCCGCCGCCTCAAACGCCGTCAATCAAACTAAGCCAACTGATAGAGCAGGGGCAGGGTTGCAGCTGTGGAGGTACTGCCATGTGCAGAGCTTGACAAACTTAGTTATCCAAGTAAACTAGTTTTATTAATTGGCCGTGCAGTTGCCTTCAAGAAGTTCCAGTGTTGTCTAATGCATACATGAGTGCTGCGAAATGTATGCAACAACATATTCAGTGCTGCAATGAATTTGTCTCTAAGCCTAGGTAAACTTAAACAATATTAACTGTTCGATTTTACTCAATTAGAACACATTTCTTATGATTTGTGAAACTTGAACTGAACTTCAAATAGTGAACATAAATTGTGAAACGTTAAGCTAAAACGCACTTGATGTGATCCGGTCAGAGCTGAATTGAAAGATGAGCTAGAACTAAACAGTTGTTATTGTCTGCAGCGTTGCCAGCACAATGCAATGACCCGCAGTGTTGGTTAATGAATAAAGCAACAAAATGAACTGAACTAGTAGGCACTTGTTGATCAAAGTTGAGTTAATTTGAACTTATGTTGGTTTATATAGCAGAAGGTGATTTGTGATTTAATCTGGAATACGATCTGAAGTCAGCACGTGGAATGACGACATTCAGACAGACCCCGGCATTGGGTATTTGGCACTCTTGGCACTGCAGCTGGGAGTCTAAGCAGGGTGTATTCACCGAGTTTGGGTGCTTTGTTAAATGTCGCTTTAAAAACTTCCTGCCCAGTAACGGCACATAAACAAACGGTGGACAAACAAACAGCCCTACAGCTGTCCGCTGTCCATTTTGTCTGGCAAATAAAAAGCACTGAGCGAAAATCGATGTGCATAAAAGAGTAGCCAACAAGTGCACAAAAAATATATAAAAAAAAAAAAAAAACCAAATAGAAAACTTCCAACTATACGGCTAGCATATTAGGCCACGGTCTGGATCTGGTGGCTGGTGCATGGGTCTGAGCCCAGAAAATGTCACAGCGCCAAAAATGGTGACAAAAAAAAATATAGGGAAAGAGGAAGAAAACAAAAATTAAATGTCGGTGCCGGGCTTGGGCAGCGCTGACCAAGGCAAACACTCGGCACTTGGCACTTTTTGATGCTGTTAGTGGCCATGTCGGAGTGCAGCTCCAGCTCCAGCTACGGCCATTCCTGCAGGTGTCGCGACGGCCGCGCAGACTTGCAAACTATGCACATGGCGGTAAATACTCTGCACGCCACGTGGCCATTGCCGGCTACTACTACTGGCTCTTACTACTGCTCCTGCTCCTGCTCCTGCTGCCAGCCGCTTAAATTTACTGCCCTCAGGCATTTCATTTGGCCGGCCAGTTGTAGCTGATGCCGCTGCCGCTGCTGCTCTGGGCGCAAACATTTCCGAAATGTGACAAAAAAAAAAGAAGTAAATAAGAAAAAAACCAGTAGGAATATTGCAGTCGGCTGTTACTGACTGCGCGATGCTCGTCTACAGTCCAATATGCGCAGCTCTCAGTGCGTGTAGCTGGAATCTTATAGGATTGCTTTTGAGAGGAGAGGAGCTCAGCTGTCAAGCTATGGAATATTTCGCGATTTCAGGCAACGTGGCTGGGCAATCCTTGGGGGAGGTCATAGCTGACTTCAGCCTAGGCCCGCCCCTAGTAGGCGTAGCTCAATGTATTCCACATGTTGAAAGGTCATGAGGAGGATCAGCAACACGGATATACCACAAGACCAATATACTCGCTTTTATCATTTGGACGAGGATAAAAA